ACACAATCCTCTGGCTCAAGTAAGTTGAGTAGGCATACTCGGACTGCCGCCCACAGCGATGATGCCGCTTGACCAAGATCAGTATGCCGTCAGCGCCCAAATGGTGACCCTGGCAGGCAATGAGTATACTACGCAAGCCAATCTAACCCACTATGAGGATATAACGCAATTGGAAGATGATATTCTCTGCTTCCTGCCAACCGTTTCCGACATAGATGTCTTTGGCTGCGAAGTTGATCTTATAGAGCTTGATACGCAACTACCCTTGTCAGAATCCTTCCGCACGGCGCTGCTACAACAACAGAAGCTGCAAATCATAGTCCGGGATGGCAGAGAGAGCTACCCCAAAGCCATACGCGTCCCTGTCAATCCGCGCAAAGAAATTGCCGACAGAGCCATGCAGCACCGATGCTCCAACGTGTGGAAGTTGCTGCAGGCATAAAGCATATAGGCTTTGCAGCCTGGCAGGGTTGCCAACAGTTGCAGATTGTCAAGCTCCCCCTTCAGTCCTTAGCCTGGAAGATGGAGCTTTCCAAGGCTGCTATGCCCTTAGGGATATTATGGCCCCGGGCTGTGTCCAGTACAGCCGAAGGGTGTTTGCGGAGTGCTGCTCTCTCAGCAAGGTTGGTCTTGGCCAAGAAACAGAAGACAGCAATGTCCTTGCCCCAGGGGCACAGCTGGGCCGATATGCTTTCGAAAGCTGCCTCACGCTCGCATCCATCACCTTTGCAATGGACCAACCGACAAGGCAAGAACGCTGCCTGACGGCGTATTTTGTGGTGCTGGCATTGAAAACCTCTGCCTCCCAAGTGACTTTCACAACATCGGCCCGCGGGCTTGTGAAAACTGCAAGCGGCTGGTGGAAGTCAACCTCATGTGCACAGAAGTCACAGCCTTACTCAAAGCCACCTTTGCCCAGTGTGTTGCCATGACGGACATTTGGCTGCCGCCACGGCTGACTCAAATCGGCAAAGAAGTGTTCCTTAACTGCATAGCGCTCCGAGAAGTGGTCATTCCGACCGAGCTTCAAGATACAGGCATTCGGGCTTGTTGTGGGTGCGAACAATTAAGACGTTTCACACCTCTCGACTGGGGGGAGATCGACCAGACCATACAGGCAGAACATAATGCTTTCCTGATGCGTGACAATTTCGAAAGGCCACTTGGGGTGGAGCTCCTGCCCTCAGAAGGACCAGACTCTGACGCCTTTGACGAGGAGTTTCACACGGAATTCCCCTAACCTCAAAGTAGTTAGCTCAAGAACCACGGTGGGTGCATTAGCACCTGTCCTGGCCAGATCGTCTCCTTGTCAGGCATCATGTGGCACAAGAACGGGACTAAGAATCATAACCCTCCCTTGGCCTGTTCCTCCAGCTCGAAAAGCCCACCCTAGACACTGGAAATTGGCAACATATTTTCCTAGGCAAATCACATACGCACAGATCAAACAATTGCCAGGATATGTGCCTTAGCATCTGTCCTGTGTGATAGATCTGAGCTAAGAGTGCTGCTAGTATAGTTCGAATATCACACAGAACAAGCCAAACTCTGCTCCGAATGAACACATGGGGAAGCCATTGGCTCAAGCAGCAACCTAAAGTAGCTACCCACCCGTCGTCTAGTTTCTTCTGGCTTCCACCAAGGAGGTTGTTCCACCAGGACCAACTTTGTCTGGTGCAAAAGTCTTTGAACTGGAAGCATCACCCCCTCGAAACTCCCTTGCCACAAAACGGCAGCGCCTCTTCCAGCAGTCATACACTGATCGTGTGGTCCAGATGCTTCCATTTTCCAGCTCCTCCTCCGTGGGCTCCTCCAAGACCTTCATCTTCAGCAAGAGTTCTATCTCTTCTTGGCCTGCTGCCTCCTCAATGATCTTGAGTTCTTCTGGGCTCCGTGGATGTCCTTCATCAATGTCATCCTCCAGGTCCATGCTGGCCACGCCGCAGCATCTTCAGCATTCTAGGACTCCACTTCTTCCTCCCAGCCTCATCATTCACTGGGTGGTGCACGCCGTTGACATAAATCCTGCTGATGTCCCAGCATACTGCGGAGGATACACGCCTGCTGATGGGCTACTCTCTGGTTGGGACCTTGCTGCTTTCGATCTGGGCTCATGAGCTTCTAAATCGTCTAGTAGTTGTTCTTCACGTCGAGGCGTGCTGGGAAGCTTCACTTCAGGTGTAGTAGGCCTTCTATGCCCCACATCATCCTCCCCACCAGGCCCAGACAATAGACTTTTCGAAGATTGTTTAAGGGATTCGATAGTTAGTTGACAAATGTCTCGTGTACGACCATTGCCTCACGCTCTCCCCACATGAAGCAGCTGCACGGTGCCTGGCTCAAAAAGGAAGGGAAGCGCCCCGCATTGCGATCGGCCGCCTTCTAACGCCCATGGCCACTGAAAGTCTCTCCCAAGTCAGCACGCCGGCCGGCTCTGAAGATGGTGATGCCCTGCAGGTTGTGCCAATCACTCTTGCAGGTGAGGAGATTCATCTGCCAATTGAGGTCCGGGAAAATGATGGAGATGCTACCCAATGTCAGCCAAATTGCCACATTTGGGTGTGAACTCGACTTCGTCCATCCGAGTGCCCACCAAATCCTGAAAGACCCCACGTGGGACACTCAAGGACTGCACACGTTTCAATCTAGTGGTCAGAAGCTGCTTCGTCCGGGCTGAGCATGAAAGCCAGCTCCAAAGAGGTTACTGAGCCATCCACATCCCAGCGGATGACGGGATTTGTTTTTGGACAATGCCTACATCGTCAAACTGCCTCCCTCCGTGGTCTGAATCAAAGAAGGTGCCTTCCAAGGATGTTGCGCACAAACGCAATCGTAGTCCCTGGCTGTGTGCAATTGGGACGGCGGGTTTTTGCGGAGTGCTGTTCGCTTCTTTTTTTTGCACGGGTCGAGGCGCTATGTGTGCAGAGGTTGCGCACCTTAAGCTAGTGAAGAGGGAGTTACGATCCAAGTAGCAAAGCAAAAGACACCCAACCCAAAGAAACCCACAACCAACAAAACCCAAAACCAAACCCCAAAACAAACAAACACCACACACAACCAGGCACCTGGTTCGTAACTCGATGGCCATGTCAGCCAAAATGAGAGAGGTGAGACAAGGGGCAATGAATTCAGCCTTTGCACTCAGTGCGTCATCATCACGTCATTTTGTCATCGCCATAGGAAATGGCTGTTCAGCATACCCGCAGCAGCCGAAAGCATTTGTTACTTTGGAGCGGGGACTCCTACAGTCGAAGTGCCATGCTTCAATTGAGGTCACTTCAGTCAAGTGCCGTGCTGCAGAGATGGGAGTTTCAAGGGTTTCAAGGGTACTTGACAACAGCAAAGGAATCACACAAAATCAGCGTCATGCGAATTCTAGCTTGCAGGACTGTCGGAAGTGGACTGCAGGACAGTTGAGGCGGCAGACGAGGACTTCAAATCGTCGAAAGCACGAGACAGCGGAGCCGAGAATGCAGTGTTGTTAGAAGTTGAAAGTTGAGCAAATCCCCCCCAAAGAGGGGGAGGAAGCACAGCTGCTAATCGAGTTTGCAACGATGACTCCAAAACAGCTTGGCCACGGGAGTCACACAAAGGCAAACCCACCATGGAGATCACAAGGAGCCAAATGGTGGTTCATTGACAGCGAGATGCTGAGCTTCGTTTGCGCATTGCAGGTATGCAGTCTGTAGTCTGTGAGTTCTTGAAACATGCACGCCCCATGAACTAGGTGAGACAGGGTGAAACGCCGTTATCCTATGTCCCAATCGCTTTACAGGCCTGTACTCTTTGTACTCATCCAGGACTGACACTAGGGTGGCATCCATTGCCACCTCATGGTGCAGATCCTGGCTGCACAGAAGGTCCACAATTGGCCCAATCCGGTCGCGCAAGCGAGCCAAGACCGTTTCGGGGAGGCTTGGGCCCTTGATCTTGCTGAGAAAACAGACCACAATTTGTGAGCTAGAACTTGTGGCAGCTGTGCATGCATTGTCCTATTGGGGCGATTTTCTTACTTGCAACTTGGTGACTTGGTTTGGGGACAATGACAGCGTTAGATTTGCATCATTTGCTGATTTTTCTCATAAGAAGGGGGCCATGGGGGTGAGACCATCATGAAGTTTCATCGTGTTCCCACAGAAACCAACATTGCTGATCACCCTTCGAGACTTTGCTCGCACCCGCTCGTGAGTCCTGATGCAAATGTTTCTCAAAGTGCACGCTTGAGCTTTGAAAGCTTGAGGTGTCCATTGAAAACCACAGTGGGCTACACGTAATAGGAGGGGGAGATGAGAGACGTGCATCCCCCTGTCTTAAAAGAATCTTTTATTCAGTGATGTGCAAGACACCAAACGAAGGAAAGACGGCTTAGCTCTTCGAAGAAGATCGTGTTGTGTTGACTTAATTTTAGAAACCCTGTGTTTCGGGTGTCTTGATAGAAATCCATTTCTTTCTGTGAAATCTTCAAGGGTGGGTAGAGGCGCTCCGTTGACCTTAAGGGTCGGCACTCTCAAATGCCCACCCACCTGTTCCAAGTTTGAGGAAACAAGTTTGAACATCAGATTTTTTTCAGGCCAAACCCACGGCCTGATGAGAGACGTGCATCCCCCTGTCTTAGAAAGAAGCGCTCTTTTATTCAGTGATGTGCAAGACACCAAACGAAGGAACGACACTTTTGTCAATGTTTGTAAAGTTGAACCTGGTTTCCGGTTGCTTTCGATGTACTTGTTTTTTTGGAAATTGCGCACATTTACTAACTCTCTTCCCGACAATAGTCGGCGACTGGTTGGAAAAGATCCATGACAATTCAGTATCCATAGCATATATACACATTTGATAATAGTGTTGCCAACTCATATCACCAAACTGTCGGACAGCCATGGTCCGTCACAGCTGTTACGGCTCTTTGTGACGCAACCCGCTCTTCACTTGAGCGTGGCTCATCACCTGCAGGGTCCTCAAGGAATCGTGCGTTTCGCAGAATTCGAAGTTCGCCCTTTCAGGCCGCAACACTGTACGACACTTTCCTGCTCGAAATGTTCCTTGGTACACCGGTTCGCGGGCGTTGGTGGTAGATGGCTTGGGTGTGAAGTGGATTTTATTCCATGGATCCAATACATTTCTCACAATGTTGAGGGTGCAAGCTTTGGAATGGATCGCGAACACATTTAGCATGTCACCCTGGTCTTGCCGTGTGCACAGACATATTTCTGGGCTCAGGGTATGGAGAGGATCGGACCAGGTCTTTGGTTTCGAGCGCCAGTGAAACTGATTTCAGTAAAACTCAGGTCACACGGTGGGCACTTTTCGGGGCCTTCCCACTTTTGGTTGCAGAGCATGGGCGGCAAATTCGATCTCAGGAAGTTCTTTCTGCTTTGCGCCGTACTTTTCACGGCTGAGTCCAACAAGGTCCGCTGGTTGAGGAACGAGTTGATGTCGTTTGGTTCTGTTATGAATTGAATTTTTCGAACATATCCTGTTGGTCGACTTGACCTGGTGTTCTCAGTCGTGGACGACCTGAGGACCTGAGTCCGACATTCGTCAACTTCCATGTAAGTGTCTGAATTTCCATCCAAAAGAGACTGGCCTGCATAGCATAGCATAGCACACGGCCGTCATTTTAACAGTAGCTCGTATGTTTGGCCAACATTGAGAAAGAGAACACAATACTATGCTTGAGAATTGGCTTGCTTGATTCATCTTTGACGGGCCCCAACAACCCCCAACACCTCGGGACAAAACCTGCTTGGCCAGGTCAGCAGGTCCTTGAGGAGCACCGCTTTGAGGCGATCTTGTTGCGGCACTGCGGAAGGGGGGAGGTTTGAAGAGGTCCCCAAACCAACTGGTTTTGCACGGTGGGAGGTGGTGTTGACGGAAGATGTGATTTTCACATGGTTGTGATCGGTGAGACCTGGCTACACCAACCAACTTGAAAGTTTCAGAGGACAGACAGCTCTGTTTTTCAGGGTGGATGCGGCGGGAGCGGGGCTGTTGTTGGAATAACATCGATGTTTGAGCAACATTTCAATTCCATATTATACGTGTCCAATAAGCACTTGGATCTCTTTTGAATGAACTCTTGGTCACTTGTGTTTCTTTTTTTCCCGCTACTTGCTTGGATTTCCACTGATCTTCGGATGCGTGCAGGCTAGACGCTACTGTGGCTACAGAAGAGTTCCTTCTCTGCATTTGGGACGACTTTGATGGGACACATCAGGCGGAGTGGTCCATCTCAACCAGTTGAGGTCCGAAGAGAAGAACCCTTGCCCTGACGACCTGGACAACCACTACCCCGACAGCCTGGACCCCAAGTACACCATCGTGGGCAAGGCGGGGACGGCAGCGAAGCCGCGGGAAGGACATTGCGGGTGCAACGGAGGATTTGGAGGAGTTGTCCCTGTATGGAGCAGCTAGCAGCTAGGGCATAAGCCTTGGCCATTTGTGAGAGATTGACACCTAGAGTACTGAGTAGTGCTGTGCTGTGTCAACAGGCTCCTTTCTTTGTGCTGTGTACATTTGTTTTGGCTCGAAAGTCAAGTCTAGGCTCCACTCTGTCCCTTTCCTGTCGAGTGGTATCCTCGGCTTCTACTTGCCAGAACAAGCTGGACTCGATCTGGGACGTGGATAAGCTCCGCGAGGCCCGGGACGAAAAGGGCCACCCACGAGACGCAGGATTTGGGGGAGAGCCCCGACCAGAGATTTGGCCTGAGGGGGGGTACCGGGGGGGTAGCTGGTGTGACGCATCGGCAGGGAAGTGAAGTTGTTTGGAGCACTGTCATCTTTCAGCTCACGTTCTAAGTTGTGGGTTGTTTTTGGAATCTGCAAACAGTTTATGCAGAGATGGCCTGTGAGTTCATTGGAGAAAGGGAAATGCGGGGAATAGATGAGAATAAGATGGATCTCAAGCCGTGATTGTATGATGCGAGCTATTTTCAAAGCTCCGTCTTTGTTGAGACAGTGCCATCAGCATTTTTGCTTGTTCTACTTGCCCATGCTCTAGCCAACGTAACACTGAGGTGCACTTGTCATTTTATATTTGGAGATCTGCTCAAGCATACCGCCACTCTTCCCTACTTTTGAAAGTGAGATCATGACATCCTCCAGATTTTTCTATTGGATACCCTTTTTCACGGTCAACCAACCTTTTGCGGTGGGCAAAAAGACCTGAAACTGAACCATCTCTGTCTGCAGAGACGTTTCCTCATGCGGTGAGATGGGTCCCTGTGCGTCGCTGCGAGGCCTTGTCCAAAGAGGAGCGCTGGGTCATTGGTGAGCCATGGCTCCTCAAGGCTGGGACGGATGTGGAGGCAAACGGTGTGATTCTCAGGGGGTTGGCCCGGCAGTTGTGTGACGCGTTATATATAGTGGGCTTCGTGTTCTTTTTCCTTTTTTCCTTGAAAGCTCTGGTTCTTCCATCTGAACAGTTCTTCTTTTTTAGAACGGTGTGGGTATTGAAAATTGGCACCTTAATGGGCGGCATGCATGGATCGCCCAGTTGGAGTGGTTGATGTTGGCCGTTGTTGGCAGTTGTTGGCCGTTGTTCCGAAGGGGCGTGAGTCAAAACGAGACGTGCAGGTTCAAAGATGCAGAGCTCTGGGCATTTTATCCAGCATCTTCCGGTGCTGTTTGGTGGGTGAATACCCTGTCACCTGTTGTGTGTCCTGGTTTCCGAACGATTTGCACAAAAAGCAGATAAGAAGCGGGAGGGCCCCAACCCCCCGTGGATTTGTGGATTCCTAGCTCTTGGCATCGCTACTAGGAGCAAGGACGCTACTAGGGGCTCCTGGCCTTTCTACTAGGAGCAAGGATGCTACTAGGAACATGCTCTACTTCACATTGCAAAGGTCCAGTGGTAATCCAACTCACCTGGTGAACAAGCAGAGCATAGTAGTTAGCCAAACTGGTGCAATTCCTTGGAAAACGAAGCCGGGAAGCAAAGAACAAAGTCTCAGTAGAACCGCCCCAATTTCTGACTGTATTTTTGAAGGTCGCTCAGATGGATTCAGAAATCCTGCTGTATCAGATTCTATCCGAAAGTCAGATCCATTGTCATAAAGTCATGTGGTCATTGTAGTCCCTGAAAGGGCATCGCTACTAGGAGCAAGAAGCTACTAGTTACTAGGAGCTAAGGGTTCCAGCTCCCCCCACCTGGAGATGTCTCAAGACTTTGACATCGGCCTCCTGGATCAGGCCACTTTCACGAACAACGGCAACGTCCCGCGGATGTTCGGCTTCCAAGCTGGTCAAGACAAAGGCGCCAAGCATTGAAACATCAGCAATTGCTTTGTGATTTTCGTGGATATAGCCTATAGTAGACTCCCACAGGAGAAAGCAAGTCTTCAAGACTCCTACAGGTTGGACCACTTGATTTCAGGTTCAACCCTGGGTGACATGGCAGGTTTCATGAACATCCTTGTCCCTGCCGGCTGCGTTGAATGCACCCTGTCCTCTTCGGCCGGGACCCGAGGGACGCATCGATAGAGACGGGCTTAATCAATCTAATTCTTAATTCTAATAGCAAACATAGTTACTACTAGTAAGGCACTTGTTACTAGAAGCGATGCACTTGTTCCTAGTAGCTTCGGAAACGCCAAGAGGAAGACATCGCCCATTTGTTTCGATTGCCTTCCCCTCCAAAGGCACCTGACGCACCGATCCATCCGCCTCCAGGGACCTGTCTTGACCTCCGCACAGCATGCGGAGTACTTGTACCGTCGGGAGCTCTCAGCCATCCCGACTGAGCGGGACAGGTTGGTTTCGTCCGGTACCGCTGTCCAAGGAGGTTTCTGTCCTTTTTTCCGGGGAGGCCGAGAGGGAGAGTCTCCAAATTTTTGCATGGACCCAGAGTTTTTCCTGAGAGCGTCTGCGAAGGGTTCTTCGTTAAAAAACATCTGCTGAACTACGTCTCATCTACATCTTCACATCTTCACCTCTGCACATCCACATTCTCATCTGTATCTCTGCTCATCTTCACATCTACATTCACAACTGCACATCTACATCTCTGCTCATCTTCACATCCTCACCTCTGCACATCCACATTCTCACCTGTATCTCTGCTCATCTTCACATCTACATTCACAACTGCACATCTACATCTCTGCTCATCTTCACATCCTCACATCTACATCTCACATCTTTGCCTCTCATCTACATGTCACATCTTCACCTCTCGCTCTTCTTGACTTTCTCTCTTAAGGCCGGGGGCAGTACCGCCGGAGCACCAACGAAGCGCAACCCTCTGCGGAGATCGTGCGTGTCGAGCGAACGAAATGCGGGCGAGAGTGCGATTTGTCCCGGTCGCGGACAACCCTCTGCGGAGATCGTGCGTGTCCAGTGCGCGAAATGCAGGCGAGAGTGCGATTTTGTTTTGTCGCGGGCAACCCTCTGCGGAGATCGTGCGTGTCAAGCGCGCGAAATGCAGGCGAGAGTGCGATTTGTCCCGGTCCGGGACAACCGTCTGCGGAGATCGTGCGTGTCGAGTGCGCGAAATGCAGGCGAGAGTGCGATTTGTCCCGGTCTGGGACAACCCTCTGCGGAGATCGTGCGTGTCGAGTGCGCGAAATGCAGGCGAGAGTGCGATTTTTTGGTTTTGTCGCGGGCAACCCTCTGCGGAGATCGTGCGTGTCGAGGGCGCGAAGCGCAGGCAAGAGTGCGATTTGCCCCGGTCCGGGACAACCCTCTGCGGAGATCGTGCGTGTCGAGTGCGCGAAGTGCAGGCGAGAGTGTGATTTGGTTTTGTCGCGGGCAACCCTCTGCGGAGATCGTGCGTGTCGAGGGCGCAAAACGCAGGCGAGAGTGCGATTTGGCCCGGTCCGGGACAACCCTCTGCGGGGATCGTGCGTGTCGACTGCGCGAAATGCAGGCGAGAGTGCGATTTGGCCCGGTCCGGGACAACCCTCTGCGGGGATCGTGCGTGTCGACTGCGCGAAATGCAGGCGAGAGTGCGATTTGTCGCGGTCGCGGGCAACCCTCTGCGGGGATCGTGCGTATCGAGCAGGCGAGAGTGCGTTTTGACCCGGTCCGGCGCAAGCCTCTGCGGAGATCGTGCGTGTCGAGTGCGGGAAATGCAGGTGAAAGTGCGTTTTGGATTGGTCGCGCTCCACTTTTGGAGGAAGTCTTGTACGCAACGCTCGTTTTGGAGACTTGGCGCTTCACTTTTGGAGGAAGTCTCGTAGGAAACGCTGGTGTTGGTGCTTCATTTATGGAGGAAGTCTCGTACGAAACGCCGCAGATATACCTCTCTACCCCCACACACCCACACATCGGCGTAGCTATATCACACCTGCGCTTGAAGCCGGCAAGGCGTTGGCTTGAGCAGATTCCGGACTTGGTGGCTTCCTGTTTGCGACAGTGGAAAATCGTCTGCAACCAGTTGTGGGAACAGCCCATGCTGGCGGTGGCTGGGGACAAATCCATGCACGCGCTCCTTCACTGCTTTGGTGGCATCAATCGGAGCGCGGGGATTTTATGCGCTTGGCTCGTTGTCGCTTGCGAGCACTCCGCATTGGAAGCCGTGCAGTTGCTGGTTCAAAAAAGACCAGCGTTGCGTCCTTGGCGCAATCGACCCTATGCCTTGGAAGCGTTGTGGCACCTGGAAGGTTTGCGCGCGGAATGGCAGAGAGACTTCAGCGCAACACACCGAGACTAATTCATGTCGCGGGTCGTCCGTCGAGACTGTTCGGGACGAAACTACGACATCCACGCTTAAACGACGGGATCCGCGGCTGCCGCAAAAAGGGGCGTGACGTTGATATGTGTCTACTTCACCTGCGTGACAAACGATGTGCAGTTGGAACGCACGAGTCGCTTGTCCTGATCGTAGCGTCGTTTGCTCTCAGGTCGCAGTGTTGGCGCTTTCAAGGGCCTGTCCGCGAGAGTGGAGCTGATGAATTGAAGCGCACTTACTGCGTACTTTCTGTTTGTCCGACACTTGAAGTCAGACTGACTTGCTTTGAGCCTCTGCTCGCAGGATATCTGCTCGCCGCTGGTTTTTGGGACCAGGATGAAGAGCACACAAATCCATTTTGTGTGCGCTTCGACCTGCTTACGGTTTTCTTTGTTGTGTTCTTCAAATGGGACTGACTTGTTTTGACCGGCTTGAAGTGCGACTGACTTCTAACGAACCTAAGACATATCTTTTCTCTCGCCTCTGTCCATTTGCATCTTCGCACGCTTGCATCCACAGATCTACCTCTCCACCTCCATACATCTACACATCTGTACCGCACCTGCACATCCACACTGTCACTCCTTCACGTCCATCCTTTCTGTCTCCCTTTCTAGATATCTTTTCCACAGTGCTGGACAATCACATGTCTCGCTCTCGGGCCACCCGTCGTCTAGTTTTTGAGGTTTCAGTTGTTTGGGACCTGTCGCCTTTTGCAGTGACAGTTGCGAAGAAGCCCCAGATGGGTGTTTGTACTTATGGCTTGTTTCTCCCGTTCTTTCCAAATCAAGATACCCTGCCCTCCGTTCATTCGATGTGACCGTTCTGGTCTGCCTGGTGCTGAGGTGATGAGAAGCCCTTCACCAGCGGTGAGGTGACGATGTCCAACATCTGCTTGACGCCGCAGGCGAGGAGGGATGCGACCCTTCTGGCATGGTGGCCGGTGGCCGTTGAGGAGAACCATCGATGCGGAGAGGGCTGTTGTGTGTCGGATTCCTGAGAAATTTAACGGATCAGTTATCTAAAATTTCAAAGCTCTGCTCCAAAGCATGCCTTTTTTTCCGGGATCGCCCTTTTTTCGTGGGATACTGGTATTGGTCACCCGGCCGCGGTCCGTTTCTTTCCGACGTGGGCAGGTCTGCAAGAACTTTGAGTGCCACGGGCCTCGGACGAGCAAACACGGTCTGCCTGGCCAGGCAGTGTCCTTTCGTTCTGCAGGAAGGTCACTTCACCATAAACCCGTGGTTGCTTATATATAAGTTTCTTGACACATACCGCCCACATACATGATCATGGCATATTATGGCTGGGTGTTTTTCCAGCCCTCGCACCTGGTGTTGCACGTTTGCACCGCTGCCATCATGACTCGGTGCTTTTGCAAAGGTGCTGGAACCACTAAGCCCATCGTGGCTTTGTCGCTCGATGCCGCACCAAAGGAATCAGATCTAGATTCGAGTGTCTCACAATAGAGCATGTAAACAAATTCCTGCAAATAGGTGAAGTAGATGAACTCCGATTGAGGGATTCTTTTCATTTTGGCTCCCATGTCCCTGTCTCTTTTCCCAATTCTGATGTACACAGACCAACCTAAATCTGCCTGGCGCATCTCCCAACAACCCTTTGGCCCAGTTGCTTTGGCCTTCACCGAAAAACGTCCCCGCATCCCCAAGGCCCTCACCCTCAGACGCAGAAGCTGAAGCCGGAGTCCTTTGGCTTTTCAGAGGCCGCCTGCTGCGAGCCCAGGCGCCAGCCGCGATCGGCGATTTCTCGCGCAGAGAGGGGAAGAGCGGTGGGGCCAACGGGGGAAGGCTGGACGGGAAGTAGCCATCGTACAGGTTCGACTCATCCCGGTCTTTGGGATGAGATTTCTTCTCCAAGTTTTGCAACTGTCATTGGACTTCTTGTTTCCTTATTCCACAGGTTTTTGCGACAGTGCTGCCAATCCAGGCGACTCACACCTTTTGAAGGCGAGTTGCATGCTGACACTTCTATTTGGCTCAGGAAATGCAGCGATGAGGTTACTTGCTGGAAGCTCAGCGGTTTTTCATGGGTGGCACGCTGAACAACTGCTGTGGTGGTGGGGGTTTGGGCGAAGCTTAGGGTTGAGAAATGTGATTGATAGTAGCAGGCATTGCCCCAAGCATAGTATATGTATATAACATATTGCCTTCAGAAAGAAGAACATCATTATTTAACTCTTTTGGGGAGGGCGTGTTGATTGTTGGGGTCGCACATTCTTTTGCATTCACTTTTTGAGCGGAAGACCAGCGCATCCCGCAGTCGGTTTAGGCACTGTTTCAGGCTGTTTTCGCAAAGCTTAGAGGCCTCCCGAAAGATCAGAGGCTTGTTTGAACCTTGGGCATCTGCATGTTTCAGACTGTTTCAGAGACAAAGACATACACATAGAGTGTCAGGTTGGCCAAGAAGAAGTACATCACCCCATGGGATGGGGGTGGTGGGAGCCAGACTTCTAGGGCCACATGAAACTGATATATGAATCGTGTGAATCTCAGAGATTCATTTGGCGCACCAATCTCAAGGCGCTAACATGAAAAGCATGGAATCTAAGAGTGGCTGTTCCCACTTCCCCCATGGTGATCTCTGATCTCTCTGATCTGTGTCGAGGTGCACCAACGACCCAATGGGTCTGGGCCTTGGGTCTGGGTCGGTCTCATTTGAAGGTTTGTAGGACAGGGACGCAATCAGACATCCAGCAAGAGTGTCGGCACCTTGTTTTTTACAAACACAAGAGAGAAAGAGAGAGAGAGAGAGAGAGAGAGACAGAGAGAGAGAGAGAGAGTGAGTGAGTGAGTGAGTGAGTGAGAGAGAGAGAGAGAGTGCGAGTGAGAGGTTTTAGCGAACTAGGCTTGGCCTTTCCGACTGTTAGATGTTAATCCCTAAAACCAAGCTGAAGTGCAAGCCAAAGTCTCGCGTCACCCAATGGACTAAAGTAGAACAGAGTCATATCAATTCGAACACGAGGAGGTACACGAGAATCGGAAGGTCACGGCAGCCTGAGGAGCCTCGGAAGGACTTCGACACGCGCCTGGGCTCCACTCCCCAGGGCTGCTGTGTAGCCAAGTACTGCCCAGCAGTGCGGGCGCTCAGTGACAGTTGCTAGGCACGACTACAGCTGGTCATTGTCCTGGGATGGTCCAGGGAACTCAGATGAAAGCAGGAAGATGCCTGTGACCAAACAGAAGAAACATCAGGGGTTCTATTTTCGGGCAAGGGTAACATCCGACGTCAGGAGTCCGGAGTGCCGTTGTTGTCAAAAGCAAAAGGGCATTTTCGCTGAACTAAACGTCAATTTGAAGTCGCACGGTTGATGAGAAGATTTGGGTTCCTGGGCCCTGGGGCAGTGCAGGAGTTTGAAACACCAACCTTTCCTCTTTCTGGGCCAGGACCTTTGCGACAACATCACTGGCTGGGACAAGAATCCTGCCACTGGCTTGAAAGGACATGGAAGACTGGCTGCGACCATCACTGTTACTTCTTCAAATACAATCTCTTGCATTCATGCTCCATTTCTTAATGTTGAAGGTTCATTTTGTTCCGTCGGTATTTTTTGTTTTGTGCAGCAAAGACTTTCATTATGTTTGGTCCACCTGGTGTCTTGTTTGGTCGCATCGCTGGTAGCATCGCTGGTAGCACGGCTGTGTCTGGTAGGGCAGCGTGTGCGGTCCGTTTGCACCTCACGTGCGTCTGCGGGAGGAAGCACGAAGGAGGAATGCTGCATTCAGAAAGAATGCTCCCCAGCCGCAGCTCATGTCGCAGCTCACGTCTTTTGGAGCGGAGAATCGAGAGTGGGTCGAGTTTCCCATGGATTGGATGGCCAGTTTTTTCAAGTTTCCCAAAATATTGCGCCGGAAGTGAGGAAAGCCGGTTGTTCTGGGATCCCATGGCTGCTCCGGTTTTGCGAAACGGAGCGGCATTTGCACGGCCCGAAGCTTGGACTGGACTTGCTCGGATGTCCGGATCATGCGGAAGAAGCCCACCATGTCGGTGGATCCGGCCACAGGGAAGAACATCACCGTGAAGGGTTGGGGTGACTGGGCGATGAGAGCGACTTGGGGTGGGGAAGCTGATCAGATTCCGGACCCGAAGAATATGAGTAACATCTCTGAACTTTCATGTTTGTAACGATTCTAACTCGTGTGGTCCAAAATAGGATTCCCTCTTCGATCATGTGCAGGTGAGTGCAGCCCATTTCACTTTGAGCTTTGAGGTGATATTGAGTGCTGCGAAGAGAAGAAGTGCAGCGAGTTCGAAATCCAGCAACTTGGCTCACTGAGGCCCCAGGTCCGTTCAAGCCGCTCACTTCTTGGGCGGCCGAGTGTTCTTGCGGAATCAGGAGTTCGATCTTCTTCACATCTTGGATGCATTTGTTCGTAAAGAGTTTCGCCCCACCGACACAGATTCAGGTGTGGCTTGATTTGTTTGAGGTCGACAGTGTGGCTGACACTTGCAGTTGAGCAATCCTCCAGTGGGACGTGCAACTGGCTATGAACACCTGACCCTACAGTTTGGCAGAATTCTCCATGGCTTTCCACCAAACCTGTAGGTTTTTTCTTTCTTTTTTTCGGGTCCGATGGCCTCCACTTGTCAGGATTTGTGCCCAGCTTTGCATTCTCTGAGGCCGGAGCTGAAAAGCCACTGGAAGCTCAAGGAGATTGGAAAAGCCGATCCGAAAAGAGATCCCACGACCTATTCGAGAATCGGCGCCGCGAAGACCACCAGAAGGGTGTCTCTCTCTCTCTCTCTGACTACCAAGATGAAAAGACCTCGGTGCACCGCGGTGAACTTGTCACTAGTAGCGTCCTTGCTCCTAGTAGCAATCAAAGACATACTAGTCGCTTCAAAGATCGTTCCTAGTGGCGTCGTTGCTGCCCTTTGTTACTAGTAGCGAATTGGGGAATGCCCGGGTCGCCTAGACTCGGAGGGTGGAACTGGAGACTTCTTCACGTCTTTTTGGGCCACTGCACCTGAGTCCTTTGCGGATCAAGACTGTACCTTCTACTGTAACCGTTCTAACCGGACTGAGGGCAGACCGACGGTTTCTGAATATGGGGTGACTCCACCAGGAGAATGCCGCCGAACTGACCGGCAACGAGCTGACGGAATGCTGTGTCCCGGCTGCAAATTGTCTGGCTGAAGTACTGTAGGTCCAGTAAAGCCAGATAAATGCTCTTCTTGCTATGTTTGTTCTTCTGGCTGCCTTGTGCACCAAAGGAGAATTGTGGCTAGTTGAAACGAAGTGTGGAGATTCAACATCTTGTGAAGCGTAGAACTAGTCTGGGGAAGGTTGGGACAAGCCTCAAATTCATGGTCTGAGCATGTCTGAGCTGCTTTTGTTTGGGGCTCTCTTGTGATCAGATAATCACTACCAGGAAGATAGCTCCGACTCAGACCCAATGGTAAGAAGCACCCAAAGGTGCCACTAGCTGTAAGTGGCCTTCAGAGTGAGAGAGAGAGAGACCTGCTTGCAGACTGTGCATGAACAGAACGTTTCCATTTTCGAGGCTAAGTGCTGAGCCTCACACTTCTTAGCCTAAACCCATCCTGAGAGTTTAGGGATACCAAGCATAGAAGTGCCCACCTTGCTTGAGACTTGTCCATGAGCACACGACCGCATTCACACCGCAGACAGGGCGGGATCGATCGCGCGAGCCCCAAAACCGCGTTGCGCGTTGCCGGTTGATGGCATTTGTTGGTCGCTAGTTGACAGCGACAAATCGAGAAGTGTACAACATTGAGTTTGTTGGTTGTTGAGTGCCCGCCTACCAAGTTCATGGTAGCGGAGCACGTTGCTCCGGGACCATGACGGCGACTTCAGGTGGTGGTGGCAGCGATATTCCAACCTGGAACGGAGAGGCCACATCTTTTGAAGCGTTCGCTATAGCATGCAGGTGGCATCAACGATCCCTCAAAGATAGCGAGCAGAAGCACGCAGCAAGCAAGGTTTGGCAGAGACTCTCTGGAGCCGCTAAGGCGGTAGTCAAGCATCTACCACCTGAGGATTATGAGGACGCTGACGGGCTGGAACGCCTACTTGGTGTCCTTCGAGCATCGCCGTTGCAGCAACTCCCAATTCCTGACAGTTTTACTCGTTTGGAGTCCTGGCATCACCTCAAGAGGAACAATCGTGAAAGCATCCCTGAACTCCTTGTCAGAGAAGAAGATTTGTTTCAGCAGCTACAGCAGTCATTGGAGAGGGCGCGAATGTCCAAAACCGGAATCCGCTCAGGGGTGAGCGAGCTCGGACAAGCGTTCCTCGGTCGACCTGGTACAGTGCCTGTTGATCCGCCTTCTACCCCTTCACGATCTCCAATGGCAGGTGCACGAAGAGCAGCTACTGAAGGGCCAGCAACGGAGCTCCGGACCGAGGCCACCCAAACGGGTGCGTCCCCACCGTTGATGGCCAACTTCTTCGAAGACGAGTTGAGAGGGTACAGATTGTTGAAGGCTGCACGACTGACAACGGCTGAGAAGCAGCATGTGCTCACTCAAACAGCAAACAGTACGCATTACCATGCAGTACGGTTGGCATTGCGGACATTGTTTGCAGAGGAAGCTGAGACAAATGTTGCAGGAAGTCCTCATGAACGACGTCGTACGGCATGGGTCATTGAGGACGAGTGGGACGGTTTTGAGTCCTACTATGGTGCTGGAGAAGATTGGGAAGAGTGGAGTCCCCAGAGCTGGGAGGAGTGGTACGAGCCCAATTACTGGCAAGATTGGACTGATGAGACGACAGAGCAATGGCAAGATGATTGGATCGAGGAGGAGACCATCCCCGACGAGAACAGTGACTTGCTGGAGGAGAGGCAGTACCATGAGGCTTTCGCCTTAGCTTCCGAGGCACAAAGAACCTTGAAGGAAGCAAGAGAGGCAGTTCGTCGAACAAGAGCTGCAGGGGGTTACTACGCTCCTGAAAGCAATACAGGCAAGGGCATGAGTCCGACTTCGTCTCAACTGTCCAAAGGCAAAGGCAAGGGGCACTCGAAGAAAGGAGATGGCAAGGGCAAGCGACCTTTCGGACCGTGCTTCATCTGTGGGAAGCCAACCCATGGATATCAGCAATGCCCTGACAGATTTGCAAAGGGCAAGAGCAAGGGCAAGGGCTTTGGCAAAAGCAAAGGAAAAGGAAAGGGCAAGCCAACGTTTTTTTTCAGATCCTGCTGTTTTTACCGTGAGCTGGGATTCGCAAGTGCTGCATGGTCGACCGGCAACGAAGGCTGTCATCGACACGGGTGCCACTGAGAATGCAGTGGGCATCAATGCACTGAGCGACCTGGTTCTTTCCGGCAATTTCTCCTACGCTGTTTCCAAGGATGACCTTCCAACTTTTAGATTTGGCAACGGCCTGACAGACCGGGCAATCAGCCGAGTTGATTTGTTTGGAACAGCACTGGGGACGATGCCTTTCTACGTGTTGGGTGGTACAGGCTCTGCAACCCCACCGTTGATTGGAGCAAAACTGTTGCGGAGGAAAAATGTGTTGATCTCGTATAGCAATGGGATGTTCATTTTTCAGCCGGAGACACCGACAACACAGTCAGAGCAAGACAGCAGCATGCAAGCAGTTCAACTGGAGGCATTGGCGTCGGGTCATCTCACCATCGACCTGGCCTCTCAGCCTACGGCAGTTGCCAAGGCCCAAGAAGTTTGGTTGATGCGGTCGACAGCGACAGACAATTTTGCATTGAGCATTGAGCAGGGTTCGCCTGGTGTTGAGAGTTGTTTGATGATGGTTGATCAGAGCAGTTCATGTTCTCCGGATGCATCGTCGCAGCCAATTTCGGACCGGTTGCAGCTTCTGGCCCAAAAGCTTCAAGCATTCCGTGATCGGCAAGCCACTCGGCATGATCAGCAAGGAGCCCTCAGCATGCGACGATCCCAGGCTGTCCGGATTCCCATGCTATGGCAGTCACAAGGAAGGTGCACTGAGGCAGAACCAGTACGCCACATGGACCATGTGCACACGTTGTGGCCTTCGTTTGAGGTACACAACGAAGAAAGAGGGTCGTGGCCATACCCGCCAGATGGGTCCAGATCCTTCCATCATCCGCCTTGCACTCGAGACCCTTCAGAAGACCACGAGTGCGGCAGAGATGAATGCCGACATGGTGAACGGCAAAATGATGGAGATCAAGGGAACCATGTTTCAGATGGGATTCAAGACATCTCTGTCCTTGAATCTGACCCTGGCGGAGTACGAGAAGAGGCTGGAGATGTTCGGCCGAGCGGATGGAGTGACCCAGATTCCAAAGGTCGAGGACAAGACATCCACGAGCAAGCCATCAGAGGCAGCTCCACCGAAGACGAAGGGCATGGCCAGTCCATCGACACCAGCCACGACGGTGCCCGGCAGCCCATCACAGCTGCCATCCAGTGCAAAGACCCCGGACAGCCCACTGAAGGAGAGCATCCTGCAGATGAAGACCAAGGTGAAGAAGAGCCCAAGTCCGGCAAGGACCAAGGAGGAGAGCCGATCTCAGTCCCCCACCAGGGGATATCAACCTGGGCAGCCGTCAGAGTGGGCGGCGGTGGAAGCCCCAGTGATCGACGTGACCTCCGAGGACAAGCTGATGGAGATGAAGGAGACGGCCAAGGAAGTTCCCTGATGGGGACCATCATGTCGCTGAAGGAGCGACTGCAGAAGATGAGGAGCAAGCAGGCCTCCGTAGGCCATGAGGGAAGAGCGGCATTCCATGTCAACACCCCTCACAATACCCACGGTTCTCACCAGCCGACCAGCGATCAGGCAGCCGACTGCATCGATCACACGACACACACCACGAACACGAGCAGCACTACGAGCACCACGACAAACACGAAGAGTCATCCACCGACTCGAGATTCTCCGCCATTGCACGATGAGCACGGCACAGTTTTGAGCACACCGGCCAAGACCACCTCGCCAGGATCTACCAGTCGAGGAGGCACAGCAGGACAGATGATTCCAACCGGAATCGTGAAAAGACTCGCCACACAAGCAGCCATTTTTGGTGCCATGGTGATGGACCCCGTTCAAGGACTGTTCAGCCAGATGAGCCAAGGAGTCGACTTTTGTGAAGTGGCATGCGCACCCAACAGCTCCTTGAGTGCAATGATGTCCGAAAGGGGCTATGAGGTGAAGCGCATCAACTACAAGAATGGCTATGATCTGGAGTCCAAGACCGGCGCAAGGTTGTTCCAGCAGGAGATGACAATCCGTCCACCGAAGATGACATGGGTGAGCCTTCCATGCACTCGCATCAGTCTCTTGACAAACCTCACTCAACGAACTGAGCATGAACAAGCCCAATTCGAACAACGGCAGAACCGGGACCTGAAGAGGGCAGATGAAGTCAGCCAAGGAGTATGCAGTGCATTGGAACACGGACAAGACTTTGCATGGGAGTGGCCAACAGGTGCGGCAAAAGGCTGGAGAGCACGCTGTATCTCTCGATTGGTTCAGAAGCTGCGGCAACTTGGGAGACCAGTCTCTTGGTGCCGATTCCATGGATGCGCATTCGGACTGGAGTACCAGGGCCATCCGATCATGAAGCACTGGACTGTGTTGACCAGCAATCGACAAGTATGGATGGCACTCCAGCGCAAATGTCCAGGGCACCCAGATCACCTAGAATGCCGTGGACTTGTGGCACAGGCATCAAGCTACTACCCCAAGGAGATGGTACGTAGCATCTGCAAGGCAGTGATCGCCTCGTGGACATCAATGGAAGATGCACAAAATATTTCCATGGCAAAGGACATTCAATGTTGCCTGCTGGAGATTGAGGAGGATGAGATGATGACTCCAGAACAGAGAGTCCGAGAAGAAGAACCTCAGGTGATGGCACTCACCAGGCAAAGATACCCAGCAGAAAGGCCTACGGGCAAGAAGCTGGAAAGCATCAAGCAGATGATGCTACGCATCCACAAGGCATCAGGACATTCGTCGTTCTCAAGCCTTGAGAAGTTGCTCAGGATGCGGAAGGCACCTGATTGGGCGGTGGAACTAAGCAAGGAGATCAAGTGCCCAGACTGTGAAGAAGCAAAGAAGCCAAGACCTGCGCCACCTTCATCCACCAAGGACCTGCCAGGCCTCTTTGAGATGGTAGGGACAGATGTCTTTGAAGTGGAATTCCATGATGATGAGAAAGACATCACGATGAAGGGCAAGTACATACTCTGGAGAGACCGAGCATCAGGCTTAGCTCAGGTCGACATGCTCCAAGAGTTTGCAGGCGAAACCGGCATAGACCGATGGGAGCCAAAGACGGCCGATGTCCTGAGGTCGTTTGGCAAATGGTTGATGAACAACCCGGCTCCAAGATGGGTGATCTCCGATCCAGCCACTTACTACACCAGCTCGGATTTCATCGATTTCATGGCAAGAAGTGGCATCGGCATTCTCACCAGTCCAGCAGAAGCTCACTGGGTGATGGGGGCAGAGGAGGGATGCATTGGCATCCTAAAGAACACCTTCCGAAGGATGAAGAAAGAATGCCCCGAGCTCGGCCTTGAGGAGACGATGTGTCTTTGTGTCCATGGCCACAACCAGACAATAGGACCAAGCGGTTTTTCCCCATTCCAATGGACCAGAGGAGCTGACGCTCCAGAACCATCTCTCCCAGCTGGCATCCGGCCACGAGAAGCCTTCGACCACATGCTACGCCTGAAAGCCAAGGCCAAGGTAGCATATGAGATGGAGTACGCCAGATCTCGAATGAGCCGCCTCAACAATGCAGTTGGAAGACCAACCAACCTCTACAAGGGAGGTGATTTGGTGATGGTATGGCGGCAACAAGGAGGCAAAGGACGATGGGTTGGGCCACTACGTGCTCTCATCCAAGAAGGCACGACAGTATGGCTCGCTACTGGCTCGGCCATTGTGAAAGCCAAGGTGAACCAGTGTCGCCCGGTGACGCGACGTGAAGAGCTGCAAGCTAACCTCGAAGGAACAGCAGTCATGAAGACCCCGGTGACTTTAGATGCACTGCTTCGACAGTTTAGTGGCAAGCATTTCACCAACATCTGTGGTGAAGCACCTTCAGAGGAGCAGCGACAGCAAGATGTCAGTGAGACGACAGTGGCACTTGAGCCCAAGAACCCAAAAGGTAAGTTTGACACTTGGAAGAATGATGATGAAAAATGGTTGATACGAGTCCACCAAGTTCCCCGACTGGCACTTTTCTCACCGATGAGAATGGGAACATGTCCAGTGCCTGAGACTCAGTTGACAGGCTTGAGGAGGACCTATGTGCAGCCGGTGATTCCGAATTCAAAGCAAGTTTTGGTTGAAGATGACTTCAAGGAGTCAGATGAACCGCATCGCCATTTGACAGAGCGATGGACGGGGGAAACGTGGTTTGAAAAATCCACGAGCGCAGCATCGAGCCCTGACAAAGCGGTGGCAGAAGACAAGAAGAGAGGCCCGAAGAGAAAGGCCCAAAGTCTTCCAGGAACGCCTCGAGGGCAACCTTCCACGACAGCCCCTGAAGGAGAAGTACTTCCTCCGACACCTGCTGGAATGCCAGCAACACCTCGTCCTGGACTGGATGAATCCCAGGACAAGCCGCAAGAACGAGGAACAAGATCTGCGATTGGTAACCAATGTGCAGTGAAAGAGTGCGTGCTCCCAGGAGGCCATGAAGGTTTGCACTTGAGCAGTGACAACAAGAGGTTCCATTGGAACTCCAAAGATGGACGAATTGATGAAGAAGACTCGACTTCATCCTCTTCGTCGGAAAGCAGCAGCAGCTCATCGGAGGAGATGATCGCCGATGAAAAGAGGAAGCCCAGGCGGAAGAAGCCGCCAGACAAGAGGCAGAAGAAGGAAGCCTCGATGTTCATGACGGTGGAGAAGGACACCGTGTTCTGTGTCGAGATTGAAGTCGACCAGAAAGACATCCAATGGCTGATGAACCACCCAGCCAAGTCCTCCATCTGGATGTCAAAGAAAGTGATGGAAAAGGGAAAAGAAAAGGAGTGGCAGAAGATGACAATGGATGAGAAGATGTCATTTGACTTGGCGCAGGCCAAGGAGTTGAGTCAGGTGCTTCAGTCAAAGGCCCTCCGATCCCTGACCATCCAGGAGCAGAAGAACCTGGATCCAAAGACTGTGATGTCCATGAGGTGGGTTCTCACCACCAAGAGCGATTGCACCAGCAAGGCCCGTCTTGTGGTCCTAGGATACCAGGCACCAAATCTGGTATCCGTCCAAACGGCCAGTCCAACCATGAGCCGCCTGTCCAGAAACATGTTGCTCACGATGTGCGCCAACAGTGGCATGACGCTGCATGGAGGTGACGTGACATCAGCCTTTTTGCAGGCCGACCAGTCACTTGAAGACCAGCAGTTGACAGTGTGGGCCCCCAGTGAGTTGGCAGTGTTGTTTGGTGCGGCGCCTGAAAGCCCCACCATGGCATTGCGTGTTTGCAGAGCTTTCTACGGTTTGGTTCAAGCTCCGAGGGAATGGTTTGAACATCTAGCCAGCACCTTGAGGAAGATCGGCTACAAGTCGTTGAAGAGCGATAGATGCATTTTCATCCTGCAAGATGAATCACTCCCAGATCGTCCAGTGAAGAGCATTGTGGGATGCCACGTTGACGACCTTCTGGTCGGTGGAGTTGAGGGTTGCAAGATGTTTGAAGCAGCATTTGCAAAGCTCAAGGGTGCATACAAGTGGGGTCGATGGGACACCAAAGATTTCACTTTTACAGGGTGCAACATATCCACAAGTTCAGACAATGTCATCAAGCTCAGCCAGCAAGACTATACTGAACGTTGGATTGAGGAGATCTCAATTGCCCCGGACCGAGCAAAGCAAACAGGTGACAAAGCGACACCAGCAGAAGTTTCGGCATTGCGTGGTTGCATTGGGACAATGGCATGGAGGAGTTCACAGAGCTCACCTCAGTTTTTGGCTGACGCCGGCCTTTTGTTATCTGAGGTCCCCTACGCGACAGTCAGCACGCTGGTGAAAGCGAACAAGGTGGTTCGCGAGATGCGCCGAGAAGCCTCACAGGCTTTGTGCTTCTTTCCATGGAAGCGAGCTTGGCGAGACATCGCCATTGTGGGCTGGGCGGACGCCTCCCAGAAGAACCGTCCGGATCATAGCTCAACCATGGGCATTGTGCTGGGCATGACGCCAAAAGAGTTTTTGAGTGGAGAAGAGCTTCCTGTCAATTTGATCCAATGGAAGTCCACCCGTGCACCTCGACAAGTTCTAGGCTCGAACGGAGCTGAAGTCCAGGCAGTCACGGAGACCGAAGACATGGTCTTTCGAGCTAGAGCACTATGGTGCGAGATGAATGGGTTGTCTTTTGAGCGGGACACCATTTACAGCATGGTGAAGGACAACACCAGTGGAGCAGTTGTGATGGACACCAGAGGAATTTTTGACGCTGCAACTCGAAATGTTTCAAGCTTGCACGGCCTTCGTTCGTCTCGATCTGGCTGTGAGTTGACAATTTCTGTTTCTCAAGCATGCCAAGTCGGAACTGAATTCCGATGGGTACACGGCGGTGTACAGTTGGGCGACAGCTTGACAAAATGGGGAAGCAGAAAAGTTCTGTTGCAATTTTTTGCTGGAGGTCAACGATGGAAGCTGGTTCATGATCCAAAATTTGAAGCCGGCCGAAAGGTCAGGAAGAAAGAACTCGAACGACTGATGCGAGAGCGTCAGGATCAGTTCTTTGCAGCCATAAAGGCCTTAGCAGAACAGTACAGATGGCCGTGGGAGCCAAATGGATCAAGTCTCAGAAGTATGGGTGATGAGAGTTTAGGGATACCAAGCATAGAAGTGCCCACCTTGCTTGAGACTTGTCCATGAGCACACGACCGCATTCACACCGCAGACAGGGCGGGATCGATCGCGCGAGCCCCAAAACCGCGTTGCGCGTTGCCGGTTGATGGCATTTGTTGGTCGCTAGTTGACAGCGACAAATCGAGAAGTGTACAACATTGAGTTTGTTGGTTGTTGAGTGCCCGCCTACCAAGTTCACATCCGAAACGTTCACCACAGCAATGGGACACCTGACCACGTTTGGACGTCAAGGTGACCCCCGTCTTTGCGGCGACTTCAGCAACTTTTCGCAGAGAGGGAGGGACGGAGGCAATGGGTAGCTCTGGTGCTTCAAAGGTTTGTGGGCTATGGCCACCCACTCAAGACCAGTGTGGTACCTCAAGTCGTATCCTTCGAGCCATTCCCATGTGCGGATTAGCCGCCACTCCCTGCTTGCAGCCGAAGTGTTGAGGTGAGGTGTCTTGACCGGAGGTCTTCATGGCTGGTGAAGGCTGGTGCAACAACGTCTTGACTTTTGCTAAGGGGCACCTGCGAGTTGGGGTGTTACAACTGTTAGCTTTGATCGCAGGTCTCTGCAACCTCCCAACGACCAGCACCAGCTTGTTTCTGAAGGCATGCAGGCCTCATGCCCCGAAGCTTCCTGCCGAGGTTGCCCCAACAACACGCAGTTCCGGCCGAAGAAATCCAACTCTGTGCTCACAGGCGGGCGGCCATGTGCTCCCTGCGATCGTGTTTGCGAGAATCTGATTTTGGCTGGATGTCCAATGCTGTTGCTTTACGAATTCGGTGGAGGCCGGAGAGTCGACTCTCGGACAGTCGTCCCAACCGCCGTCTTGCGAGGCAGCACTGTGGAGGATTGCTGTGAGAACTTGCTTTGTAGCACCTACACCTGCAGCAGTCTGGATGCCCAAGGACGCTTGAGGACATTCTGCAGCAGAAGTTTCAAGATGAATCTTCGTTGTGCTCGTTGGTTTGTTTATATAATAGGTTGAATCTCTTGATTCATGAACCTTTTGCCATTGCTTTGAGCGTCCCTTTTCCAACCCCTCAATGACTACAGATACCGGATACTGACCCACCACGTCGCCACTGAGATACCACGACCATGCAGAAGAAGGTCAACGCGAACCAGCGCCCAGGATCCACGGATGAGGACCACTGCATCGGATGAGAAACGGGGCAGAAATTTCACCCACGAGATCCTCATGAAATCCTCATCCACAAAGGCCATGCCGGGCTAGTGACTGTCAAATGGCCCCCCCAGAAGAACAAAGAAGCACCAAGTCGTTACCATGTACTGTAGCTTTTGGGGAGTATACTTTTGTAGGACAGGCCTCAGCAGCATTGTTCTTGTGAGGTTCATTCTTCAGTTGTTGTCAATTTCGCATCCTTTCTCGGTGACTCCATAGCCCGTGCCACATTTGGACTGGACCGCCTGCATCTCTTCTTGGCCAGCTTCTATCTCTCTGACCTTTCCCCCTACTACAATCTTGCTTGTCTTGGATGTTTTGGGAGTCCATTCCTCCACGTTTCGTGGGCACACAACACCCGGCGGAGCAAGCCATGACGCTATAGCTTCATGTGAGCTTCGCAGAGGAGTGCTGCGAGTTGAAGTTTTGCAAGGATTACAAGTGCAGCGACTCCAGCAAGTCCTTTGGTGTCAAACTCCCCGCGCGACAACGATCGCGCGCGTTTCGCGGACGTTGTGTGGTGCTGAAAGAAATGCACCCCGACCGTTGGGTGGTGGCCGGTGCGCCAGGGACGGTGTTGGTTGAGTTTCATGAGACGTTCACACCAGGTGGAGATGTGCCAACTGCACCTATGAGCTTCGACCACCAATACTGCCAGGGCACTCTTGGCCCGCCACGTTTTGTGACCAGCGCGTGCAAAAAGATCCCATCCTCGCCATCCCCATCACAGCCCCCCTAATGTAGTCCCTTGATTTATAAACCCCCCCCCCCTCAACAACCAAGGCCTCCAAAATAATGTATAAGAAAAGCAATCAATTGATAATTAAATAAGGAATCCTTAGCTAGCTACCTCTGGAGCTACTCTGGCAATATTAAAATAAAAGGAATCAAGAAACCTAATTTTGAAGACATCTGGAATATTAATTACAATAAAAGGGAATGAATCAATGGAAATAGAACTAACTTTTTAAATTTCAATGGAAATCTGAATCCAAAGACCTGCAATTTCAATGGTAAGTAAAGCAAATCAAAAGGCAAAGAAACGGAATAAAGATTCAAAGCCTCAAATCTCTAGACATTATTCTAGGGGCCCCCCTAAATAATGTCAGAAAGCTGCTTGCTGGACTACCCCCTTTGCTTGAATGTTTTTTTTGTTTTTCAATACTTTTGAATAAGGGATTTTATAAAGAAAGTGCGGGCTGACTTTTGGAAACTTTTGGAAAGCTTCAAAACTAAAGAGCTTAGGACAAGTAAATAAGGAATAGAGGGTGAGTAAAGCAAATCAAAAGGCAAAGAAAAGGAATAAAGATTTAAAGCCTCAAATCTCTAGACATTATTCTAGGGGCCCCCCTAAATAATGTCAGAAAGCTGCTTGCTGGACTACCCCCTGTGCTTGAATTATTTTTTTGTTTTTCAATACTTTTGAATAAGGGATTTTATAAAGAAAGTCCGCACTGACTTTTGGAAACTTTTGGAAAGCTTCAAAACTAAAGAGCTTAGGAAAAGTTAATAAGGAATAGAGGGTGAGTAAAGCATATCAAAAGGGAAAAAGTAAACTATAACAAAAAAATATTCCACTACAACTACCCCTGCCCCCAAAAAAAGACATTATTCTAGGGGCCTTTATAAATCAGTGCAGGGAAAAAAAAAGACATTATTCTAGGGGGGTTTGTAAATCTGAGGGCCACATTAAGCTCCTGGCTCAAATGCCATGGGCCAAAGACCATTGTTGGAAAAGGCCTACAAAAAAGCAACCATTTCAAACTTTGCGCCTTTCTGGGCGGTACAGTACACAACCAACGACGACTCTGCCGGTTGGTCCGGCGACCGTCAGGTGGATCCACATCTCGGATCAGCTGGGCTCTGAGATCTGGTCAGGTGGAGCTCCACTGCATGGACGAATTCTGTACCACCAGAGCCACCCAGGTGGATCCGGACCCAAAGATTTTTTTGGGGTGAATTTGGGGTGATTTGGTTGGAGTTGGAGGTGCAGGCTGGCTGCCTTTTGGATCTCCAAGATGCTTTCAATCAAAGGTTTCGAAGGGTTCATGCTTGCGGAAGGATCACATCAGTCACGTCTTACAGTACCTGACAAGGACATCCGAGGAAGTTTGACTGAAACACAAGCTTCTGGTGAACATTTGTTGGATCTTTGGAACGTGCCTAGAGCTTTTTCATCGTCTGCCCAACGGCTGCCGGCTGGCCGCCACAGAGCTCCAGTCGCTCTCCAACGGCTGAGGCTCGGTGTGACCAACCTGGATCGCCGGGGGAGCTCCGACGAGGAGTGCTGTGAGAAGATCCTGTGCCGTGCAGAGATCTGTACCTGGGCGAAGTCTGCCGAAGTCAAAAAACATGGGGAAAGGCTCACGGAGTCGACCCCCCAAAAAAGAACATCCCAAAACTAAAGGTTCGGTTGATTATTTGTGGGACTTTGACGACGGTTTGGTTGGATCGTTTGGTCAAGGAAGCATGAATCTTTGCAAGGTGCGGAAAGATGAGAACTTCCTGCAGAAAGCAGGGTCTTGATTCGTGCCGACGCTGTTTGTTCGAGGGACGGAGCCAATAATTGAAGTCGGATTGATTGAACTGTTCCTTTCTTGTTTGGCCAGTTGCAAGTAGCAATAGTGGACCAGAGCTAGAATTTCCTTTCCGGGTGCTGATGCCCAGGCAGTCCTAGCACCAGTTGGAAGCCCAAGAAAAACGTGGAGGAGATCCTGGGTAGCAGCATGCGAGAATGCTGCGAGCCGGTTTACTGCGCCTTGGTCGCCACAGTTGTTTCCATAAAGGTACAAGTGAGACACTTCGTGTTAAGATGATTGAGGTTGACTTTTAAAGTCTCCAAGAGCTCAGAGTTTACCATCCCCATGAGCATTGTAGCTGGATGTCTACAAGGCCCTCAGGTCTTATGCCTTCGTCGAAAACAGGCGCCAACTTCACCTGTGACACGGATGACGATGGGGATGGCGATGGCACCATGTGGTACAAGAGGGTGGACACCAACACGTGTCTTGGCCGCTGAGTATGTTCGCTGGGGTCCATGCGATCCCGTTCCGAAGAATGGTCGCTGCTGGCTGCTGGTCACCTGCTGGAGCCCATGCTCCAACGCTAAACCAGAGTTGTGATGAGATTCGCACCTTCCTAATTGCCTAACTGACACAGAAGCGGCTCTGAGGTACAAGTGGCAGGGCAGCACCAACGAGGAGCGGGAGTTTTGGCCTTACTCAGTTGATGCGCAAGTGAAAAGGGACTCCCGACCTGCAAAAGACCGCTAAGACCTGCAACTCCTGAGATGGGTGCCCCTTGAAATGGTTATATGTCACGTTTTGCATTTTTATGGAGTCATGTAAGGGATGGGAGAGAAATGTCTTTGAATGCGCGAAAGCAAGTCGGAAGAAAGGTGAACATTCCATTCCCAAAACCTGAAAAAGCCGTTCTCCCCAAGTGGGGACTCGCGTTCCTATGAGCGACTTGCCCGAGAGGATTTCGCCGGTTTCGTCCCGCTAGTCGGATGATCCACAAGTCGGATGGACACAGTGGTGGCCGGTTGAACCATCAACACATATCAACATTGTTTCGGAAAAAGAAGCTGGGCCATTGTCACGGTTTCCTTGCCTTCCTACAGAGCAAGTCTTTGTTCTGGTTTTCTGTAGCAAGTAGTGGAAGAGAGTTATCCTCCCCTCCCCATGTGAAGATGATTCAGGATGATCAGACAAATTCGTGACAAGTACTGCGACGACCTTTGGCCCAGCCGAAGTGCCAGGAGTGCTGCTTGCCCAAGTACTGCAGCCAGTACACCACGTCCACTCCTACACAGCTTCTTGACTCATGTAGATGGACATGTGCCAGATAAACGGACATGTCCCACCAAGCAAGGGAAGGAATCTGAGACCTTTGGAAGATACCAACAAAATGACTGCCAGCAACACTGCATGGATCTCGGCTCTCATGACCAGGTGGAAGAGGAAACCTCAGAAGGATGTCCAGGGCAGCACGGACGTGGTTGCCTGGCTGCAACTGAAACCGCCTGAGACTCCAGAAGGTGGAAGCGGGGTCTCGTGACCCCGTCTCCTGCACCTCGTGTCATTGGCATGGATCGTACCAGATTTTAGACCATTGAGCTGTGGATGTCTCTCTTGGCCAGTGTTCCACGAAAGTGGAGGTTTTGTTCTCAACAGAAACCAGGCGCCATGACACTCTTGGTCTCGCCTTCTTAACGCCGAATGGGGCCTTCGTGGTCCGACCTGGGTCGAACGACGCGGTGAACTTCTTGCGGGTCGTGTGGGCTGAGGAGTGCTATGATCAGCTCTGGTGCACGGACTACTGCTGCGTGGGTGCTGGCTGGGTGAAGAAGCCTGCGCCGGAGACGCGCCCCTCGCCTGCTGGGTGTGCTTAATGAAACACCTGGCGCAGTTCTAGGGAGGTGGCTTTTAGGGAAAGGTCCCCAAGTGGGTGCGGCAAGGATCCAGGGCTGTTTCAAAAATTAGACCCATCAGTTTTCATCCGTTTTCGCTTGGAGCCACATCCTCGTGAGCAGTCTCTCGAGTTGTGCGACCTTTGGTTTCGTCGAAAGCGGATCCTGCGACCGGCTCACCCCAGCTGAGCTCCTAGGCCCAGGCAGCACGGATGAGGAATGCTGTACTCGTGCTGATCTGCCGGACCCGTCGAGCGTGGGTCTGGTTGGATCGTGAAAGGTCGGTGGAATGGGGGTGGAACGTAGGAGCTTTGAGACACATGCAGGTTCAGACATTGGTGTTGATGAAGGTTCTTGTGAGTAGAGTGATGGAGTGCATTTTGACTTTGGAGCAGCTATCAACACCTTTTTAGTTCATTGCATTTGGACCGGCAGATGCAATCTTTAAGTAGGTTCTCTTGGCCGGATCGGTGGACTCTCCTCATTTTTTGGTCACTCACGCCCTGCAGCCAGGCCCTGCACCCATGCTTACGCCCAAAGACGAAGAGTCTGTGATTCGCTTGTCTAAGAAGTTGTTCCAGCAGACTTGCACACCAAAGCGCCAACCTGCGGTGCCATCGCTTCTCTTTCCAATCGGGTACGATGGGGACCCGTGTCATCTCCAGGACACGCATGTGAAGCAGGCGGGGAAGTCGGACTGAAAGACATGCATGGTTCAAGCAAGCAACCGCTGAGTCGAGGTTTTGTCTATCTGTCTATCTTTCCTTTTGCTGAGTTTTCTGAAAGCGTTGAAGAACCCAACCAGCCCAACCAGTGCTTCCCTTTCTTCCCCACATCTTAGTGTGGGGTTCTTCTTTTCTATGTCTCATCCCGCTTCCCGCCGCCTCCTCCCTCCACACCGAGACAACACATACAGAGACCACACACACCGAGGCAACACACACACAGAGACCACACACACCGAGACAACACACACACCGAGACAACACACACCGAGACAACACATACAGAGACAACACACACCGAGACAACACACACACACACACAGAGATCACACACACAGAGACCACACACAGGCGGCGGCGTTGTCTTGGTGGAAATAGCCATGGGCGGCGCTGTCTTAGTGTAAATTGCAATAGACCTCGCTCCGTTAGAGGCTCTGGCGGTTGCGTTGTCGGCTGTTGTCGCCGCTGGTC